ATCTTACGTTTCTGAGATAAGCGTGCTACCACTGCGCCATGCTGCAGTTCATAATATTATTATTAGAAGCAAAGTTGATTAGGTTGATTTTAAAGTCCCGACCAAATAAATATATTTCCTCGAATTTTTAATTTTGTTTAGAAATGTTTTAAGATGAGTTTTAAACTTTTTTATATTACCAGATGTAATATAAAAAAGAAAACATAATTATAAATACTATTTATAATTATGTTTTTTTCAGTTTTATTTATTAATTCAATGCATAATGGTTCACAATCTCTTTTATTAACACAGAGGTCGTTACGTAAAATATAATTAAGTGAATTGTGGATAAAAATACTAACGCCCCCACCTGCATTTAATTCACGTGGTTGGTGAATTGATGTGTAATTAACTAGTTCAAACTCATAATTTGTTTCACCACTTTTACACCAAGTTTCCGTCACACATAAAATTTGTTTCACCACTTTTACACCAAGTTTCCGTCACAAATAGAATTTTAAAATCGTGTTCATTTAATAATTTTTTTTTTTATTCAACCATATCAATAAAATTTACAAATTTCATCGTAAATTAATATAAATTGGTTAGGTGTCACTCATATAGTTACAAACTAGTCAATGGAGTGACACCTAAAAAACATTAAAATTTCACGAAAAAATAAATAAATAAACAGAAAAAAAAACAAAAAAAAACAAAAAAAAAACAAAAAAAAAAAGGAAAAACTCAACATCTGTATATATAAATAAGAGAAAAAAGAAGAAAAGATTGTTAAACAAATAATAATGATATATGTAATAATAATAGTAATAATACAAAATAATAACAATAATAATAAAGTAACAATAATATTAAGAATATTATAATACAATATAAATTGTATGTACAAATCATAGATGATAATTAGATATAATAATAACATAAAATGTAACATTAATAACACAATAATAAATAAATATAAGATTGGTAAATAAAAAATAAAATAAAAATCAAACCACTTATTCGTTAAAGAGATTATATATTGAAGACAACTACAGTACAGAGAGAAATTACAAAGAAATACACTCCAACAATATATTTTTAAATTGAATTCTGTTGAGCAGTAAAAAATTTGTAACAAGTGGATATTTTTTCTTAGACTTTTTTATTAATGCAGGAATACACTGGTTCCATTGAGAAATACATTGTTGTTTTATGGAAAACTTACCATATTTGATTGTGTTGAAAAAAGAATAGTATAGCTTAATATAATAATATTTTTAAACTATCAAAATTTTTGTTCAAACTTGGAATATTGATATTTAAAATGGAAAAAATGTTTTTATTTTGTTAACGAAGTTGCAAACATTCCGAAACGGAGTAATATTTACTTTCTAACATTTTGTGATTAAAATAATTTGCGTCTCGTTATCACCGAGAATGCCATTTTCATCCAAAAATTAAATATGAAGTTTTCCTCCATTTTTAAAACAATTTAATTTGAAAATAATAGTAAAATTAAATTCCGTTAATTAATTAAAAATATTATGAAGATGAATTTTTGCTTTTCTTTGCTACCCAATCGCAAATTATCAATTTATCATAAGATATGAATGCAAACTAACCAGCCGCTCGCTCAATCTTCTTTTTCTCCCTCAAACCTTTCCTGATTTTCGTTGTTTCAGAACAGAAATCCTCGTTTATATAAATGTTTTTTCTTCTCAGATTGTTTGACTTGTTCAAAATTGCAACTTTATCTTTAAAATCCAAGAGTTTTATCACTATTGTTCTCGGCTTATTTGATTCTTTTTTTCCAGCTCTATGGGCCCGTTCAATTTGGACATTTTTAATAGATAATAATTCTTCAAAAACTTTTTTTACCTTGCTTCCAGCTTTCACCTTGGTTTTCATTAATTCCTAAATTATTACGTCGAGATCAATCTTCTATCTCCCTTAACTTTTTTTGTATGATTGTAATTTCGGAATTTTCTTCTTTACTGCAAACATTTGCTTTCTGAACTTTTTCATCGATTAGTTGTTCATGGAAATTTAAGCTATGTTTCAATTCTTCTATATCTTTTTCTACTTTTTCCAATCTGCCATTAAAAATTTTCAGTTATCTAATAATAATATCGATAAAAACGTTTTCCTGTTGTTTTAACATTGTTGTGGATTACGTCTTCCAAGATAAGTAGCAAAAATTAGCGGTTGTATCTTAATATAAACATTAATATACTTGTAATGATGCGGTCTTCTTAAAGATACTGAAAAATTACGCCAACGTAATTTTAAAGTTAATAATATAATATTTTGTGGTTTTGAATTTTATATAAAAAATGGATGATATTTGTAAACAATAGATTCGCAGTCATATGTAAATAAAACAACTATAAAAAAACCTTTTGCACCTCCTAACATCGAGTGCAATCCTGTCCGCTTTTTCTATGCTTTCTTTCTAACACGACTACTTCTGTCTTTCACTCTAACATATCTTCGTTCTTCCTAAACTCACTTTACTCTTGGTCCGTAGAGCGGGTTATGAGGCTCCTTGGGGAGCCGAACCTGTCTTTGCGGGCCTTGGTAATGTGGCCTCTATATGGCAATTAGCCGGAGGAGGATAAACCACAATACCAAACAACTATAAACAAACCTATTGCACCTCCTAACATCAAATGCAATCCTGTCCGCTTTCTCCATGCTATCTTTCTAACACGACTACTTCTGTCTTTCACTCTAACATATCTTCTTTCTTCCTAAACTCACTTTATTCTTGGTCCGTAGAGCGGGTTATGACGCTCCTTGGGAAGCCGAACCTGTCTTTGCGGTACCTTGGTAATGTGGCCTCTATATGGCAACTAGCCGGAGGAGGATAAACCACAATACCAAACAACTATGAACAAACCTATTGCACCTCCTAACATCGAGTGCAATTCTGTCCGCTTTCTCTATGCTGTCTTTCTAACACAACTACTTCTGTATTTCACTCTAACATATCTTCGTTTTCCTAAACTCACTTTACTCTTGGTCCGTAGAGCGGGTTATGACGCTCCTTGGGGAGCCGAACCTGTCTTTGCGGGCCTTGGTAATGTGACCTCTATATGGCAATTAGCCAGAGGAGGATAAACCACAATACCAAACAACTATAAACAAACAAGTGAATTCATTAGTGTCACTGGGAAACGTTTAATAATTCTTCACAACATCCATTCGAATTCTTTTTTATAGCCCTCAAACAATTTTGTTATTTCTGATAACCGCCATATTATATAAAAAATGAGTTATTTTCTCAAGAAAAATAAATAAAATGTGCTAAAAAGTTAAAAAATGAAACAGTTTTTTCTTTAAATTTTTAACGGTGCAAAAACACGTCTGTTTATGAAGAAATCATTGAGCATAAGCAGGTCAATTGATGGTATTAGGTTGTTTCCATTACTTCTACGTATATTCTGGAGTTGATTTTTCCGGTGTATGTTTGGCACATACCAACACCTTTGTAATTGAAGCATGACCAGATTCCTATCGAGCCTTCTTTATTTTGTAGTCGGTCTAATATACCTGGCGTAATACTTTTCGTGAGCCATTCTTTTAACTGGTATGTTAGATTTGCGATTGATAAGCTCAAAGTTACTCTCATCACTACTCATAGTGTTTTTCCATTGTTCTATTGTCCAATACATTTTTCACGAAACTATTTTAGCCTCCTTTGTTTATCATATGGACGCAGGAGCGGTTTCTTCAAAGCAGAGTAGACTCCAATCTTGTATTTGATTAGTATTCGGCGGACTGTGCTTTCACGAAACTATTTTAGTCTCCTTTGTTTATCATATGGACGCAGGAGCGGTTTCTTCAAAGCAGAGTAGACTCCAATCTTGTATTTGATTAGTATTCGGCGGACTGTGCTTTGAGAAATAGATGTATTTCGCGTTGTATAGAATTCTGTGGTCAATTCTTTGTAACTAATTTTTGGATTAGCTCTGACAGCTCTAATAAAAAAGGAAACTATCGTCCTTTCTGGTGGTTGACAAGAGTCTACCTGGCCTCGTTTTCTCGCTTGCACCACCAGCGTGAAGAAAGTTTTGAGTCGTTGTCCGAATGCATTTTTCAAAACTCCAATATATCTGGCAATTTCTCTATTACTTTTGGGTCCTTGTTTGATTTGAGAAATAATTTGTCATCTTTCACCTTGAGTGATACGTCTTTTGCCCATTTTTCACCTCTTTTTAGTGCAAAACTAACTTAAATTTTGTTTATTTATTTAAAAATGATTAACTAATTCCAGGTAAGTCATATTTATATAAAGTTTTTTGACAAAATCAATTAATTTAGGCCTATTATCAAGAAATATGGGGAAAAAACTACCAATTAACTATCAATTAACATAATATAAGACTTTTTTGATTGGGCGTCGAAACTTATGAATAAATAAATAAAATCAAGCTTATCAATTAACTTTTTTGTGTTAATTGGTAAAGAATGAGTAATAAACATCCTGTAAAAAAATTAAGGTACTCTATAAAAGAGTTTCACTTCCTCTATTATATTATATATCAAACATAGCGGTAGCACTTTTATTTTATTTTTATTTTAAGTATTTTCTAACTAGTATGTAAAAAAAAATGAGTGCGTCTAAATTTATGAAAGCTAATGTATATATCCCACCCAGTGGGCACGCGGACGGCTTTAGGACGTCTTTAAGACGTCCCGATCGGACGTCTTAAATTGGTTGGATTTAGAAATACAGAAAGACGTCCTGCGTGGAACGTTTTAAAGACGTCCCACAAGGAACGTGAAAAAGACGTCCTGAGAGGAACGTAAAAAAGACGCCTTACGAGGAACATAAAAAAGACGTCCCGATAGGACTAAGAATTGAGTTTAATTTAAGTAACAGTTTAGAAATAATGAAAAACATTAGGTATGGAATGCCATAAATAGGTCTTATTTGGTGCGTATTTTTTTATACGTTAATTTTTAGACTTATTGATTTCAAATACCATTAGAAAAACAAGAATTCAACACAAAAATTAGTAAAGTGAAATTTATTTACAGAAATTAATTACAAATTAGGTTCGATACATCTATCACTTCCACTATCGACAATTTCTAGCACCAAATTTTTGTTGATCTGGACCACGTTTAAAAATGTTGCTAGCATATGAATGAACTTCATTCTAAAAACAGTCTAATAAATAAGCTATAATATCTTATACAAAATTTTCAAAGTCAACTTTTGCAACTGATTATATAAGAGTTCACAGTTGATTTTAGTGCGAGTGTGAGTTTGCAGTATTTAAAAATTCGTCAAAACTAAGCATACAAAATACAATACAAAATATATTACATTAACAGGTATACCTATAATTGTCTTCATTAAATTTGTTTCACGAAAACTCTTTTTTTTACCAGCTAAGTTAAATAAACTCATCAGTTTATTTCACATTAATCTAAATAAACAAATGACAAAAATAAAATCAGATCAGATCATAAGCAGTTTAAAAATTATGAATATAAGTTCATTTACAAGTCCAAATTACCCAGCCAGCATTTGGTCCAAAAAGAAAGTTTTTCAGGATCAAATGCGGGCCAAGTATGTTCTGCTAAAATACATTTAAAAAGCTTTTTTAGCAGAATATAATTTCCAAACTTACATCCAGAATATAATTTCCAAACATATAACATTCTACAATTATATATCACAAATGTGTTTAAGATTTACATCCATGTTTCCTCACTTGTATGGTTTAGATGGTTCTCCATAGTAATGGCTCTCTCAAAAAGATTTGCAGCAATATTTTACAAACAGATGCCCAAACGTCGTATGGATGGCGTACAACCTGCTTAGGCAGGATGTACTACATGGTATCAGTAGCAAGATAACCTGACTTGACGCTTAACAAACAGACCTAAAATAATATGGATTTGAAAAGAAATTAGGTCATGCACAAAAAGAAAACAGTAGATAAAGCATTAATGACATTAAAGAAGACAGACATCAATATCTGTATTTTGTGTCACAAATATTTAATATTTGTGACAGTAAAAACTTAAACTACAAATATATATTTTTATTCTATTTTAGTATAAAAATGTATAAGTTATAATATTTTTTTCTGTTAATTTATTTAAGCTCTTACCTTAAAAAACCTTTATACAGTCAGTGGCAAAGGCAGGTTTTTTTAGGTTCCATATTTGACACTTTCAGGCTTTGTGCATACTTCAAACTTTTTATGCCTACCTGGAATGACAATGAAAAAAAATAAATTACGATCTATTATTTGTTATAAATAATACATAGGTGCTTGAAAACTAAAATACCCAAAAAATTTTGCTCTCCTATATCTGAATATGAGGGAAATGAGTTCATATTAGCATTCAAAAGTTATGATGTACATTTTGCAACCTCCTCATTTAAGGAGGGAAACTAATCTTTATATGGTCAAAACTTTTGAAAGCTAAAATACTAATAAAGTTACAAACCCGTTGATGAAATTTAATTTAATAATAAATAAAATACTGTTATTTACAGAACTCATTTCCTTCACATTTAGGGATGGGAAAGGGCAAAACGTTGTCATTCGACATAAGGATAAAAATAATTAAGTTTGCAGATTGGACAATGTCCTTGAAAATGTCTTATGTGAATACATAATAAAATACAACCTATGCTATTGTACATGCATTTACATATACTCTATAGTGTAATGTATACAGATAAACAATAACCATAATAAATAATTTAACAAAACAAAACTTATTAGTTAATAATTAAGTAATTATTATTAAAAATTATTTGCATAGCAAAACAAAATACAAAAAGTAAACACATACTTAACAATCGACGCTTTCACAGTGGCATAACTAAAATTACCACCAACGTTTGATAACTGAAGCCTCAAAAAAAATACAGTTAAGAATAAATAGTATTTTATTCGACACGGAAATGTTTTAGTTCAAAACCATAGTTCTAAATCAAGAATTAGGTTGAAGCTGGCAACCAAATTGAAAAAGCAAAGTAGTCAGATAAAACCATGCCGTTACAACATTTAATCATCATATCCAGTTTAAACAATTTGATTTACGTTTAAGGAGAGTATTACATATGAGGAGAGTATTATGTATTACTATATTCTTTTCTACTTGTTTATCTATCATATTTAATGATCGTCTGTTAGAATATAAAAAATTGAAAATAAAAATCCAGAATTTCAATAAAAAATACAAAACTTTCATTAACAAATATACACTCGTAACATATTACTGGGTGTTGTAGGTGCCTTGTCTTTTTCATATCTTTGTTTTTATACCTAATTGTATACATTTTGATAAGAATTGGAAAAGTTATAACATTTGAAGTTACGAAAAACTATCAATTTTGTCATTATTTTTTCAAAAAATCCTTATAAAATTTTTTACTAAAAATACCATGTAAAATTTTGATTTTTTCACCATTAAAATATAAAACAATCATGTTCTAACATTAATAAATGTATTATTTAATTTGTTTGTTCACTAAATGTTAAATCATTGATATATTAATAAAGCTTTATTGTCGTATTTTTATTAAATGTTGCAAAAGTATAATAAATTAAAATTTAAAAAAAAAATATATATATATAAAAGTGCAACTTTCAGCATAAAATTCAAAATTCTATGTAGATGAAATGTAAAAATAATAATCATAAGAATACAGTAAACTCCCAATATCTCAAACCTCAGATAACTCGAACTTTCCTGTAACTCAAAGTACTTTCGATTATTATTAGTAGTACACATATTATTTTTTTTTACTGTTATATCTTGTTACTATATTATGTATGTATGTTACTATATTATATATGAATCGATTCATATATATCATATTGTCATATATATCATATTATGATAGATAATATAGTTACATGTATCTATAATATAGTAACAGGGATTAGGTTATTGACTGTTAACTTCAAAGAAAATAAAATTAAATATATATATAAAAATAATGCAAATTTAGATTTATTGACTGATTTTTATTATATTATTACTGTATGAGTATAAAATCTTAATTTTATAATTTTATTTCCTGACATTTATATTTTAAGTATTACGTTTAAAAAAAAAACTATAATACTTAAAATATAAATGAAAGTAAATAAAATAGGCTTTTATACTCATACAGTAATATAATAAAAAAATTAGTTATTCTAAATTTCATTATTTTTATATGCACCTAATATGACATAAAAAATATAAAGTATATAAAAATAAAGAAAATTTAATGATATATAAAGTAAAAAAAAACAATCTATAAACAATCTTTGTATATTTTATTTATCTATATACATATATAAATATAATATCTAATATGTTATCTAACAATTATCTAAAAAGTAATTGTGACTCTTCTTCATACGAGAATCGCCATTATTAAAACACCTTATAATAATGGCGCCATTATTAAAACACCTTTTAATAATGACATTTGCATAATGACATTAATAATGACTTTTAATAATGACATTTGTCATTAGACATAATAAAATATTGATGTCTGTCTTCTTTAACGTCTTATGTACGTTCAGTTCACGTCCGCTCGATTTATTCACAATATGAACTATAATAAGACGTTTTATAAACGTCTTTTTCTCGTCAGTTCCGAAAATAAGAAAATTTATCACTTTCAGTTTTGAAAAGCCATTTTATTATGTCTAATGACGCGAAATGTCATTATTAAAATTATTAAAAGGTGTTTTAATAAAGGCGATTCTCGTATGAAGAGGTCACAATTACTTTTTAGATAATTGTTAGATAACATATGTGTTTTATATTTATATATGTATATAGATAAATAAAATATACAAAGATTGTTTATATAGTACAGAAAAACTATATATAACTTTATATGACATATATATGCCGTGACATGTTTTTTTTTACTTTATATGTCTTTAAATTTTCTTTATTTTTATATATTTTATATTTTTTGTGTCATATTAGATATATATAGAAATAATGAAATTTAGATTGATTAACTAATTTTTTTATTATATTACTATATGAGTATAAAATCCTATTTTATTTACTGTCATTTATATTTTAAGTATTATAGTTTTTTTTTTAAACGTAATACTTAAAATATAAATGTCAGGAAATAAAATTATAAAATAAAGATTTTATACTCATACAGTAATAATATAATAAAAATCAGTCAATAAATCTAAGTTTTTATTATTTTTTTATATATGTAATTTTATTTTCTTTAAAGTTAACAGTCAATAACCTAATCCCTGTTACTATATGCATGTAACTATATTATATATCATAATATGATATATATGACAATATGATATATATGATATATATGAATCGATTCATATATAATATAGTAACATAAATATATAATATAGTAACAAGATATAACAGTAAAAAAAATTATATGTGTACTACTTATAATAATCTAAAGTACTTTGAGTTACAGGAAAGTTCGAGTTATCTGAGGTTTGAGATATTGGGAGTTTACTGTATTCTTATGATTATTATTTTTACATTCCATCTACATAGAATTTTGAATTATATGCTGAAAGTTGCACTTTTTTATATATATATTTTTTAAATTTTAATTTATTATACTTTTGCAATATTCAATAAAAATACGTATGATAAAGCTTTATTAATATATCAATGATTTAACATTTAGTGCACAAACAAATTAAATAATACATTTATTAATGTTAGAATATGATTGTTTTGTATTTTAATGGTGAAAAAATCAAAATTTTACATAATATTTTTAGTAGAAAATTTTATAAGGATTTCTTGAAAAAATAATGACAAAATTGATAGTTTTTCGTAACTTCAAATGTTATAACTTTTCCAATTCTTATCAAAATGTATACAATTTGGTATAAAAACAAAGATATGAAAAAGAAAAGGCACCTACAACACCCAGTAATATGTTACGAATGTATATTTGAAAGCGTCGATTGTTAAGTATGTGTTTACTTTTTGTATTTTGTTTTGCTATGCAAATAATTTTTAATAATAATTACTTAATTATTAACTAATAAGTTTTGTTTTGTTAAATTATTTATTATGGTTATTGTTTATCTGTATACATTACACTAATGAGTATATATATGTAAATGCATGTGCAATAGCATAGGTTGTATTTTTTTATGTATTCACATAAGATATTTTCAAGCACATTGTCCAATCTGCAAACTTAATTATTTTTATCCTTATGTCGAATGACAACGTTTTGCCCTTTCCTGTGTCATAAATATTAAATATTTGTGACACAGAATACAGATATTGATGTCTGTCTTCTTTAATGTCATTAATGCTTTATCTACTGTTTTCTTTTTGTGCATGACCTAATTTCTTTTCATATCCACATTTTTTTAGGTCTGTTTGTCAGGCGTCAAGTCAGGTTATCTTGCTACTGGTACCATGTAGTACATCCTGCTTAAGCAAGTTGTATGCCATCCATACGACGTTTGGGCATCTGTTTGTAAAATATTGCTGCAAATCTTTTTGAGAGAGCCATTACTATCGAGAACCATCTAAACCATACAAGTGTGGAAACATGGATGTAAATCTTAAACACATCTGTGATATATAGTTGTAGAATGTTATATTTTATAAGTTTGGAAATTATATTTTGCTAAAAAAACTTTTTAAATGTATTTTAGCAGAACATACCTGGCCCGCATTTGATACTGAAAAACGTTCTTCTTGGACCAAATGCTGGCTGGGTAATTTGGACTTGTAAATGAACTTATATTCATAATTTTTAAACTGCTTATGATCTGATCTGATTTTATTTTTGTCATTTGTTTATTTAGATTAATGTGAAATAAACTGATGAGTTTAACTTAGCTGGTAAAAAAAAGAGTTTTTGTGAAACAAATTTATTGAAGACAATTATAGGTATACCTGTTAATGTAATATATTTTGTATTGTATTTTGTATGCTTAGTTTTGACGAATTTTTAAATACTGCGAACTCACACTCGCACAAAAATCAACTGTGAACTCTTATTTAATCAGTTGAAAAAGTTGACTTTGAAAATTTTGTATAAGATATTATAGCTTATTTATTAGACTTTGTTTTTAGAATGAAGTTCATTTATTTGCTGGCAGCATTTTTAAACGTGGTCCAGATCGAAAAAATTTGGTGCTAGATTTTGTCGATAGTGGAAGTGATAGATGTATCGAACCTAATTTGTAATTAATTTCTGTAAATAAATTTCACTTTACTAATTTTTGTGTTGAATTCTTGTTTTTCTAATGGTATTTGAAATCAATAAGTCTAAAAATTAACGTATAAAAAAATACGCACCAAATAAGACCTATTTATGGCATTCCATACCTAATGTTTTTCATTATTTCTAAACTGTAACTTAAACTAAACTCAATTTCTTAGTCCTATCGGGACGTCTTTTTTATGTTCCTCGTAAGGCGTCTTTTTTACGTTCCTCTCAGGACGTATTTTTTACGTTCCTTGTGGGACGTCTTTAAAACGTTCTACGCAGGACGTCTTTCTGTATTTTCAAATCCAACCAATTTAAGACGTCCGATCGGGACGTCTTAAAGACGTCCTAAAGCCGTCCGCGTGCCCACTGGGATATAATTGAAAATAAATCTTTTACGGTGACATACTAATATGAACGTGATATAACTAGCCTGAAAATAATTCAAAGACAAGCAATTTAACGAGCACCTGAATTAAAACAATTAAATTATGCTGAGAATTTTTTTTTTTTTGTGGTTTTTAAGATGCTCCTAGAGGTTGTTATTGTCTTATCACAAAGCTCCGCGGAAGAGCATTTAATTAGGAAATTCACGTCTCCTTCCTGACCAATGTTGCCTAACCAAAAAAACTAATGTGGTAAAAAAAGCTTTATAAAGTTACTTTCTAAAGTCTTTGAGATCACTGAAAATTGAATGAGAATTTGAAAACGCTAATCTGAACAGGGTTATACCTCATTAAAATAGATTACCATTCAATGTTGTATAGAAAATTTTTCAATGCTGATCATCTCAACCATTTTTAATGCAAACAAAAAAATAAGTTTAACAAAATTAGGGAGAAAAAAATGCAATAGGACTGAAAAAAAAAAGATAAAAAAAAGACGTCCCAGAAGCAAAGTTGTTTGACAATTGGTATTTTCAAAATAAATTTGGACAAATGACATTTAGAATATAAATTCTATAAAACTGATTCTTTTTTAGATGTAAGATGTGAATTTATTTCTCAGAACTGAATTTATATATTTAAAGTTTAGGGGACGGATGCCGCAATTTTTAGCGTTTGCTACCCTCCAGACATGGAGCAAACATCAAATAATTATATGTTTAAAATTTGCGATAACTGGAGCCTGGTAACAAAAAAAATTTCAAATTCTCCGCCCCAAACGTGAGAACAACAAATTGATAAAACATTTTTTAAACTGTTCTCAACTAAATTTATATTCATCGATAAAATTAAATTTCATAGTATAATCTAGAGTTGTTAACTGGAAAGTAACGTAAATTTTCAAAAAAAAAAATATTTTTAAAAGATATTGATAACAAGGAATTAATTTTTTTTCGTACCAAGCCATACAAAACATTTAAAATCTTTCGCTTAACGCCATTTTGAAGTCCATTACAAAAATTTTTCGCTAAACAGGTTGAATTGTATAAATATTAACTATTTAAATCTTAATATTACTATTAAACTATTTAAATCAAAATATTAACTATTTAAATCTTACTATGTCGAAATTAATTTTTTCTCAACTATAACTTGCGGAACAATCACTTTCAGAAAAAAACTTATGAAATACGTCAAAATAGATAGAATTCACCGAAATACAAGACTTGCGATTTTCGTATCTTTATCTACCGCGTTTCAAAATGCTAATGTTTCAAAGCTCACCTTCTGTGACGCGTTTTACGAAAAGTAAAAAATATTAATTCCGTAATTCAACGACTTGCGAAAAGAAACTTGCGAAACAATTCATTTCGAAAATAGACTTTTGCAACAGATCCTTTTCGAAAGGAACATTTCGAAACGTGCACTTACGGAAAAAAAAGATATTTATTAAACTATTGTTTAAATAAGAATAATGTTGTTAAATGGTTTTTTAATCATTTATACATATATTTATAGTATGTCTGTGTATATATATATTCAGGGTCGCCCACAGTACTTTTTTATGTTTCAGATATGAAACTTTCACGTATTGTGCTAATTTCACGTATTGTGCTAACTTATATATTTTCATGCCTATGACAAATGGCTTTGCAAAAAATATCTCCTAAACAATAAATCCTTTTCCATTTAAAATTATCTGAAAGTCTAGAAACAAAATTATTATATCTCAACCATTATCAATTAAACTTATGATAAAATCTAGAGATTCCCATTTTTTTCACAAAACTTTTATTAATAACAGATCCATGTTGGTTTTAATTGATTGTTTATTTTCTACTAAATTTTTTATCATTTTATCTTTAATCCTTTCCATGACTTTTGGATGAACTTTTTCTACTTCAGTTACTTAATTAATGTCCAGTTTGAAAAAATTGTTTTCCTTCAACATAGGCATTAAAATCTGGATTTCTACAGATTTTTTATGTTTCTATATTTATGTTCGGATCAGATTGTGGTTTGAATACTGGTGCAAAATATCCATTCAATGTATTTGCAATTACTTTTAAATCAGTTTCGATACTAACAGTTTTTTAGGTTTATATTGTATTTGACTTTACTTTTATTGCTAATATATGAAAAAAGTTTCTTGGAGTTAAACTTTGAATTTAAATCAAGATCATAATCAAAATTTTAGTTGATTCACCTTTTAGATTAGTTGATTCACCTTTTTTTCTCTGTATTTTTGACTCACCTTTTTTTCTCTGTATTTTGTAAGTAAACGTTTGCCTGTGAACATTGCCTCCTACATTTGAACAACACGTTTGTTTTTTCTTTTGAGAACGCTTTTAATTCTTTATTTATCCAGTGAGGCTATGTGTTGGTTTGAATGCTTCTCGGTTTTATAATTGAAATGAAGACTTATCCATTTTTCGTAACATTTATTTATTTCTAAACTTTTTAATTCATTGTCCCAGTTTAGAATTTTAAAATAGTTATTTAATTCATCAAATTTCCCTAGATTTTGACTAAATTTTTCTCTTTTAAATACACTCAATACACTTTTCATGACTGTAGTTAAACTTAATAATGTGATAACCGTGGTTAATATCTCCCAATTGTGTTGTATCTCCCATACGATTTAATTCCACATAATTTGCTTATAGCTAAGTTGGAAGGTTATGGGTTTTCTTATGATCAAAATGTCTCAAACTCTTATTATCTTACCTTTCTGCTCGCAAACAGAGAGTAAGCTAGGATCATCATTTTCTGAATATTTAGATACGGAATCTGGTGTACCTCAAGGCTCAACTTTGGGACCAGTTTTCTTTAATATTTTTATCAACAATTTTTTCTTATTTATAAAAAACTCTGAAATCTGCAACTATGCTGATGACAACACTCTTTCTGTTTGTGACAAAAACCTAGAGAGTGTTATTGCTCGTCTTCAAACGCGATTTTATGGTTTACTTGGAATAAAATGATTGCAAATCCGGACAAATTTCAATTTTTTGTTAGCTGGCTTAAAAAATTGTAAAGATAAATTTTTAATGGTTGGAAATGTAAAAATCATGATTTCCTCTAAGGTTAATCTTCTCGGGGTTACAATTGATAAGGATTTGAAATTTTATGATCATATTAAAAGTCTGTGTGGAAAAGCGAATGGTAAATGCTTCGCTCTTGCACGAACAAGAAGCTTCTTATCAGTAAAACAAGCTACTGTTTTATTCAATGCTTTTATAGTGTCAAATTTTTCCTATTGTCCTTTGGTTTGGATGTTTTGTTCAAAGTATAACAATAACCTAATTAATAAAATTCATGAAAAAGGACTTTGCATTGTCTATAAAAGATTTGATCTCCCATTAGAAGAAATTCAAAAAATAGAAAACATCCCAAGTATTCACCTTATAAATTTAAGGTTTTTGTTAACTAAAGTTTTTAAATCTATAAATGGTTTAAATCCAGATTTTATGTTTTTTTTATCAAAAAAAATCCAGATTTTATGTTTTTTTTATCTTAACGGCAGGGATTTTTTGATAAAAAAATCCCTGCCGTTAAGTCTTCGATGTAGTAAAAAATTAGTACTCCCACCCATAGTCTCTAAACAAGTTCATAAAAAGTAACTTATATAGAGCAACCTCGCTAGACAATGAAACTATGTCAATAAATTGTCTAAATATGTTCAAAAAAAGTATTTTAAAATGGAACGGAAAATCTTGTTTTTGTAAAATCTGTCAAAAATAACTTTTTTTATTTTTTATTTTTACGTCGAAATTAACCAACTAGTTGTATTTATTGAGATTTATATTATTTTCTATGTAAGCTATTTTTATTTTATTTATTATTTCCTATGTAAGCTATTTTTATTTTATTTATTATTTACTATGTAAACTATTTTTATTTTATTAATTTTTTATTTACGATATGTATGTTTGTTTGTATTGTCTTATACAGTTTAGTGTGTTGATTTTAATTAGTTTTTGTTGATTATAAAACTATTGTAAACAATCAACTGGAAATAAAGTTTTAAATAAATAAATAAATAAAATAAATTGTGGAAGATGTACCAGTTTATAAACTCTATTTTCTTCTGAGTTTCAATCAAATTCAGTACATTCGTTTTATTCCAAATATTATTTTGAAATATTGGCTCAATCCTGATGCTTGAACCAATTGTTTAAACATTCTAAAAATAATTTGGCTCGATTATCAGACTCGCAAGTTAGTGATGTCATTGTAATCTTCTGTCCATTCGATTGAGTTGAAATTAAAATCCCCACAAATAAGGATTTCAGTATATTTATTTGAGAAACTCATTGAATGAGCAAAATTAAAAGACTTTGTGACGTTAATACAATTACCTATCCGGTTTGGTAGATACTGCCACAAAATATTTTTTTACTTCCTAATTTAATAACGCACCAAATCTGTTCTATATTAGACACTCTATTTTAGAGGTTTTAAGTGAAGTTATTTTTACTTCAGATTTTTTCACTCTTTCGAGCAGGATGACATGAAATAAAAACCTGTGAAAACTAATTAATAACCGCATTTTTTTTTCGTTTTTGACAATTTTTCTGAATATTTAAAACCTTCAAAAAATGAAGTGGTTCTAAACTTTATACGGCCGTATCT